GCCTTCAGTTTGGAGATCGTCATATTGTTGTCATCTCAAAGGATACAAGTCACTTTAGCAACATATAAGACCACCTTGGGCTTCTCAACTCAACTCGTACAGACATGCATTATCGATCTCTGAGGAGAACTCTCTGTCAATACGAGCTCCCACCAAGGAGAGCTCCACACTCCAACACTTGTCCATCAAGTGACCACATAGCGGCACATGCAAAAAGATCATCAACACATAAAGTAAACATGCTAGGTAACTGGTCGCGGGCCCACATCATATATTAGAGACATGGAGGATAGATCACCACAACATGTCACAACTATGCACCAAGTGGCCAATGCATGCTACAGGTGGCTTAACGAGTAGCCTGATTAGTCTCCAGGTGCCCGAACCAGGTTTTAGGTGTCTTGACCAGATACCAGCCAACCTGAATCAAGCCACAGATGTCCAGGCCGAGCACTGTGTGGCCAAGCTCGAGTAATAGGTGTCTTGACAGAGTCCCAGGTGTCCTACACTCCTACCCGATCTCCACCAAGGCAAAGCAAGCTCTAGGTGTCTCAAGCTACGACAAGTGTTCTACATTTGGCAAACATGTATATACTCTAATAGGCATCCCAAGTCCTATATAAGGGGCAAATTAGCATTTAATTCATACTTTATGACTCACTGAATCCTTAACCACCCTCTGGACAACTCGACATACTAACATGACCGTTGGAGCTATAAGCCCGGAATATCACCCTGAGCCCTCTAACCTCGTTTTCCTCCTTAAAGGATACATCCAAGCTGTCCCAGGGACTTAAGCACTTTTCGACGGCATCACCTTTGACACTGGAGATGTCGTAAGGGAATCCTAAACCTAGAAATTCTACTGTGTCCTATTGTGAAATATAATAGATTTGTGTTGTTAATAACTTAGGCTGTGTTTAGTTGCAGTGCAAATGAATTTGCACTGATGCAAAACTATGGTAATACAAATGATTTGGCTACAATTTTTTATTTATTATTGTTTCAAATTTTACCTTACTTTGTTTGATTGCATTTAAAATGAAGTAAAATAAGACCTAAAGCAGAATAAAGTAAATTTCAAAACAAAATTAAACCAAAATTTGCATTTTTTTTTTCATTTGCACTCCCATACATTTGTACTAGTACAAATAAAATTGCATTGTAACCAAACACAACATTAGACTCAATTTGGAAAGAGTACAAATGTAAATATGTACAGTACAAATGTATATAAAATAATACAAATATAAGATTTTGCACCATACATATTGGTATTTGTACTCCTGGCCTAGTAAAACCTTTATAGAATTTAGTAGATTTCAAGTGAGTTTTTTCGTTAATGCATTTCTTAAAAGGGGAAGCAAAATTAACTCAATAAGAGTTCGATTTTCTTCTAGTTTTGTTTTTAATGGAGTTTAATCTTCTTCTGGTTTTAATGAAGAAGTGGGTTTTAATGGAATTGGATCTTATTCTAGTTTTAAATGAGGGAAATGGTTAGAATATCCTCGGTACATGTGCAAATTGCATTTACTCCGATTTAAACAACTAAGGCTGTATTTGGATGCAATGTAAATCAAGAATTGATGTAAACTTTTGTACGCATTTGGTAAAAAAGTGTAATCATTATCGATGTAAAACTACACTCCGGTTCAGTTTTGCATGTGTTTGGATAGAGTGTAGTTTTACGTCGATGATAGATGTAAAACCTCATCACATTTAAAGTTTTTATCGATGTAAAACTTAAACAATTTTGTACATCGATTTCAAAATACAACGGTCATATATATTTAAGGTTCAGTGTAAAACGTCATTAGTGTATTTTTACACTGATGATGTTTTACACCTCTTCCAAATGCAGCCTAAACACTCACGTTTTGCATTCAAATTTGCATTGTTCTTGTCCAAACAAAATGATTGCACTTGAGTCTTGAAATCCACACAATTGAATCATTCAAAAAAAATACCTATGTAATGTACATGTTTGCATTTGCCTATAAACCAAACACAACCTAAGTATGAAAAAAAAAACACATTTTAACAAATTAAAGTGAAGAAAGGGGACTAACTGAATCCCAAATTCACATCTCTCCTCACAAAGGGTGCCCCACATAATATCCCAATCGTGTAGTGAGAACATCTCCCACTAACAACTTTGGGAGATGTTTCCAATGCACGCTAAGATGTGCATATGGGGTGTTTGTGGGGCACATATGTGATCTCTCCAAATCCACATCATTTGAAACATAACCTACAAAACATATAATTTGATCGAGAAAGGGGAACACAATTTTTGAATCCAACAATCAGAGTGTATTTATCATTATCGCCTACAAAAATATTTTTTCCCTCTTCCTAATTTCCACTTACGATGTCTCCCATTGACAAGAATTTTCAATGGCAACTTTCTTAAACTACCCTTATGGTTTAGCTAATTGACCAACTCTACCCTTTCTGTTTACATATTGTCTTAGAGTACCCCTAAGTTTTCTGGCAATTGTCTAAAACTCCATTGCTATTAATGTCCACTAATGGAAAGATAAAATGACTATTTTACCCTTTATTCTTCTTCGAATATTTAAAATAAAACAGGGAAAAGGGAGAGGAAAGAGAACACAAGCCAAGAGAGAGAGAGAGAGAGAGAGAGGAGGAGGGTGTGTGTGCGTTGAGACACCGTCTTCTACCTCTCTCTGTTTTTCACAGTATTGAAATCATGCTTTGGAAACTTCGCTAGTTTCTTTCGGTATTCATAGGGTTGGAAGGTAAAGGCAACATTGATAAAGGTAAAAAAGACCTCCATTTTTTTTCCTACTATTGCTGATTTATTTTACTCCAACCACTAGAGCACTGACTCAAACACTATGAACTCCGTGTACTCTTTGTACAACTCTGACTGTTGGAAAATAGTAAAGAAGACATAATGAAACTTATCGGTAATTGCTTTCCAAATCGAGAACTTGCGAATCTGTAGCATTGTAGAATTGTGAAACCGATAACTTGCGGAGAGAAGAAGGGCTAAGTTGTGCCACTTGGTCACTCTCCTTAAAACTGCATTTGCCCCCTACAGTGTAGCCGGGTGATTGTAAATCGGTCGCCAAGATAAAACAACCCATGGGCCAATGATAGGCGTGCACTTACTTCCACGAACCACAAAAAATGATGCTCATATAAGAACGGTTGACAGAGAAGAGAATAATGGGCAAGTTAGTATTCATTTCCCCCTGAAATCTAAAATAGGGCTACTCTTGAAGCAATAGATCGTCTCGAATCTGATTATGATGTCTTTTTATTTTTTGTTTCCCTTTTTAGTTGCCCTATCTATTTATTCTTCTCTTCGAATAGAGTGTAATATATCTTTAGATAAGAGATTTTTGCCCATTCCGGTAATACCAGGCGGTGGTGTTTTATGTACAAGGTCTTGAATATAGGGTGAAAATCTCTCTGGTCCTCTATCCTGCTCCATTGCCATCGACGTCTTGAATATCTCTCCGTTTCAGGGCTGACGCTTAAAGTAAATACTAGGCGGTGGCGGAGTGGTATTTACTTGAACCTAATTGAGTTATTTTCTGCCCCATCTATGCCGTTAACTTGAAGCAAATACTATGCGGTTAGGGAAATTTTCAAAGTTTTGTTTTTTGGGAGTTTTAAGAAAAAATAAATAATATAAAAAGAAATACTTATTTTGTTTGATAGAGGATAATATTGGGTATTAAAATATTTATATGAGTATATGACACGTGGTGTCATGTGTGTGCAAATTTTAAAGGAATATTAAGGGACGCTAAGATATGGGTAGAGCTAGTTAATTGTCAAAAAATAGTAGGGGTGGTTTAAGGCAATAGTTAAACAATAAAGATACAATTTATCAATTAGTTAAACAATAGGGGTAGTTTAAGAAATTTGTTTTTTTTTTCAAACTATCAAATGGACGAGTGGTAGGGAGGGATCTGCTACCAATAAATGCTTCCAACAGTGTTTCTATAGAGTTTGGATTTCCTACCCATGACGACTCTACCCACACCTATCCACATGACATCCAACCATACATGGGAACATCTCATGCTCTTACATGTTATTATGCATGGGGAGATATTCCCAATGGACAGATGTAGTGTTTTGTGGGTAGAGTTCTTGTAGGTAGGAGATCTAGTTGTCCTAGTAAGTCGAGAAAGAATTAACTGAATGTGTTGGTTGCTTATGGGTCCCATGTATTTTATTCAACCCGTTGAACAGCCTAATCTGAATTACAATAAGCTAACTGCAGTCACACATTGGAAACATTGTCCTTGTCATTCATGGGGAAGATGTTCTTTAGGCTGTGTTTGGTTGCATGCAATTTTATTTGCATTAGTACAAATGCATGGGAGTACAAATGAAAAAAATACAAATTCTCTTTTGATTTTGTTTTGGATTTTACGCTATTTTGCTTCATGTCTTAATTTACTTCATTTGTACCACAATCAAACAAAATAAGCTAAAATTTGAAACAAAAATATATCAGAATTTACATTCAAATTATTTGCACTATTATAATTTTAATCAGTACAAATTTATTTGCATTGCAACCAAATACAGCCTTACGTGCAATTGTAGCTTCTTGGGATAGAATTGCAACCAAATACAGACAGTTATTGGTAGCAGATCTAAACTCGGCGGGCAATGGCTCTTGATTTTCAACTATATTAAACAGGGTAGTGATCTGCTACAAAGGAACGCTACCAACACTGTTCCAAACATGTAGCAGCCGACATTGACAGCATCTTCCTTATCGTTCATGCGGAGATGTTCCCGATGTATGTTGTTGGCTGCAATGCATTGTTTGCACTGTTTGTTAGTAGCTGATCTGAAATCTATTAAACCCTAGTCAAAGGTCAAGAAACCTCCTCCACATTCTCACGTGTAAGCAGATACCCAATCTCTCGATTCGCCATTCGCCCCGTTGATCTGCACGTGCAGGTTTCGTATTTTGAATTCGGACGCGGGCGCCTTTTCTCCGTTTCAATTAATTTCTCTCATCGTTCTCTTTCATCATTTCATCAGACATCGCTAACGCAAGCACCACCCCCTTCTAGCTTGTAGGACCGGAAAAGCCCTCGTTTTTCATCCTCTTCGCCGTGAGTTCTCTTTCTGACGATTTTTTTTCTGCAACTTCCTTACATTTATTCATTCAACTATTCGTCATTGATAGGTAATCTCGGGTCTAACTCTTCTCATGTTTTAACTGAAAAAATGTTTCGAACTTCCTTTTCTTCTTGCTCAGATTTTCTTCTTAGCTCATTCGTCAAATCTCACAGGATTTTGTTATCTTTTATTAAATTTCAGATGTTATTCCGGTGCATTTCCACTGGTCTTTGATTAAAGATATCATCTTTTGCATTTTATTTATTTTTGTTATTAATGTAATTTTTGGTACATCTGTCTATTGATTTACTGCTGTAATGCTACTTATTTGCTCAGATCGGGGTTTACGAGCTCCATTAAACTTAAGATGGAGAATTCGGAAGTGAAATCTTCAGGTGGAAGTGGAGCCTCGCACGAGAAGGATTCGTCTCAGTGCGTTAGAGTGGCCGTCAATATTAGGCCACTCATTACTACAGAGCTTCTGGTGGGATGTACGGATTGTATCACTGTTGTTCCCGGGGAACCACAAGTACCATATCGATCTTACTATTTTTGACCTAATTTGTTTACTTTCCTTTTTGGCTTTCCCCTTCTCATAATTATTGGAGGGTGAAGTGTGGTTTGAGATTGTAACCTTGACTTCTCGTTGTTGCTCGACTGGTTGATAATGATAAAGGTGCAAATTGGTTCGCATGCATTTACGTTTGACTATGTGTATGGGAGTACTGCTTCACCTTCTTCTTCAATATTTGAGGATTGCGTTGCCCCGTTGGTTGATGCACTTTTTCATGGCTATAATGCTACAGTTCTTGCTTATGGCCAGGTGATACATTTGATTGTTGTTTATGTTCTTGATTTCATTTATTTTCTACCTTAGTAACATTTATCATGTTTATTGTTCTATCATTAACTTAAATGCTGTATTTGCCTTCTGGGCAGACTGGTTCGGGGAAGACTTATACAATGGGAACCAACTACACCGGGGAAGAAAATAGTTGTGGGATTATACCAAAAGTCATGGAAACTATATTTTCAAGGGTAGAGGCAAAGAATGAAAAAACGGAATTTCTTATTAGGGTATCATTTATTGAGGTTAGATACTTCGTTACTTCCCTTTTAGATTTTAGGCTTTCTGTTTATGTGCTTAATTTGTTTTATTGTTTTTTGGTTCATAGACTTTTTTTTTTTTTTTTTTTTATATTGTTGGCTGACAGATTTTCAAAGAGGAAGTTTTTGATCTGCTTGATCCAAACCCAAATGTGTCTACAAAGGCTGAAGGGGCTTCTCTTGCCAAATCTGCTGTGCCTGCAAGAGTTCCTATTCAGATTAGAGAAACAGCAAGTGGGGGCATAACACTTGCTGGCGTTACTGAGCCAGAGGTGAGAACAAAAGAAGAGATGGCAGCATTTTTGTCGAAGGGTTCCTTGTCTCGTGCTACTGGAAGTACCAATATGAATAGTCAATCAAGGTTGGTATCCTTTATTGACCATATGGATATCTATGATAGTCTTTCTTGACTTGTTCTTTAATCTACATGTTGTCCCGTCATTTGTGTTTGTTTCTGAATAGTTTGCACTATGTACTTATCTAGAATGGGATTGCCTTTTAACTTACGTGCTTCTGTGCCTTTTCCTATAGAGTTCCTTATGGTCATGTTGATTCTATTTTGCATTCTTAGTCCATCTGATTTCACCTTGTTCTTGCACAAATGTCATGATTATGTTTCCTCTCAGCTGATCTGATGATTATTGATTGCATGTTTTACATCCCAAAGTTAACTTATACTTCATTCTATCCTAATCATGTTCTTGAAAATCACCATATGGTCTTGTTTGTGCTTCTCTTTGCTGATCTCATTTCATCTTGGCCTTGCTTCATGCTCCAACAAGCATGCATCATTACATTCTCCTTAAACTTTATTGCTTTACTTGCAACTTAATATTTGAACGAGTTCAAATTTCCTAACAACTGAAGGTTATATTTATATATAAATGCAAAGATACTAAAAAGGTACAAAGGAACTTGGAACCTTCCCTGTGGTACATTAATTTGGATGTAGGAAACTAAAAGAATTTTCCCAATGCTTCTTTTTCCACTCTTGACTCTGCATTTGTGGAATGTTTTGGCCCAAAAAACCTTGCCACAACATAAGCCCATTTTGAGGGCATTTTGAACTTAAAAAAAGCAAGGTTAACAAATATAAGGTGGGGGCATAGGGCTGAGTGGACCATGGAGATGTGCATATGAATGATCCAGAGAGTTTTCTACTTTAGAACTATCTGGGTTGGCTGCTGGATTCCTCCATGTGGAAGAAATTGGTGTGGTCATTTTAGGGAGATTCTCTACTCGACCCACCTTTTCTTTTAGGATGGTCCAGGTTACGTGGTTCATTTTAGCATTATGCATATGTGGAATTTTTTATTTCTACTTTCAGTATATTTCGTTACATTTATCTCAATTCATAGTTATTTGCCTCTATTGAGTTTCAGCTATACTTGCATTACATACAAGATTCTTTTGAAAGTTGAGTAGTTCCAAATGAACCAGTCTTCAAATACTGTAGTTACATTTAACAAAAAGAGAGATGTGTAATGCATATGACCTAATGAGCAAAAGGAACCTCAGTATGGTAAGTCTTGGTACTGCACATTGGTATACATTACAAAGTAACAAATGAATGACATAGTTTATCTTTTTGATTTGAACGCTAAATTGGCTCAAGAGGTTAATAAATAGGATCACTTATTTTGTCTATGCTGACATGCATGTAACAAACACATGCATGTGCAAGTGTTTGTAGTACAGTGTTGCATGAACACAGACATGAATATTGGAAACAAGATACTTAGTAGTCTGACTTGGCAAGATGAGAAAACATGGATTCATAGACATGTCTATGAAAAAGTATATACTATTAAAATTGTTCATATTTTTTGAACTATGACATTAAATACCTGTAAAAAATGTTGTCTTTGTATCTAATTAGCATTTAACATGAAAAATGGTAATTTTTCTATATTATCTATTCATTTATGTCAAATTCAAATAAACTAGGGGATAAGAGGGAATTGTTACGTAGAAGTATCTTGAAGAATTCATAGTGTCAGATTCCAATGGATGTCCAGTGTGCACATGTCACCCATTTAGGAGAGTCCTTGCAATACTGCTGTAGTAGTAGTATCATGTCTTGGCTTACATTTTAATCCCTTCTCTTTGGTTTCTGTCATTCTGTCTTATAGTCGTTCCCATGCTATCTTCACAATATCTATGGAGCAAAAGAAAAATTCTCGCTGTGTTAACACGTTAGGAACCGATGACGACGCTGGTGATGATATTCTATGTGCAAAGCTTCACTTAGTGGATCTTGCTGGTTCTGAGCGTGCAAAACGGACAGGAGCAGATGGCTTGCGTTTCAAAGAAGGTGGCTATAAGTTAAATCATTCAAAGGTTTATCAGTTTCTCTTTTGATAAGCTGTTGGCTTATGGAGTACACTTCATATTGAACCTAGGAATTCATATCAACAAGGGATTATTGGCTCTTGGAAATGTGATAAGTGCTCTTGGCGATGACAAAAAGAGAAAGGAAGGAGGGCACGTTCCATATCGTGATAGCAAGCTAACACGGTTATTGCAGGTAAATTCCCCCTTCTGTTATAATCACTGACGGGGTCAAGTTGTCCTAGTTGTAGTTTAATTGAAAAATTTACCCTTTTCATGGTTTTAACAAAACTAATACATTCTATGTTTGATATTATTTCACCCTGGTCATTATTTAGTCAATGACTGGTTATGTTAAGTTGTAAAGATTTCATAAAATGCCAGTGCAAATTTTGTAAAGACTTGTGATATAAAACTTTCTTCTATTATATACTTTTTTATCAAATAAAATGTGCAATTTAAAATGAGTAAACTTTTCATCATTTTTATTGATGGAGTTAAATACATCGAAGGAGACAAGTGAAGTTAGTATTGTTCATTAATCACTATTGAGTATTCTTTAAGAATTTGTTTTATCATAATGAATCCACGACTAGAATAATATTTGAAATCCAATTATACCAAGTAAATATGAAGTTTTGAAGAGAATTTAATGGCTTTTGATGCTACCTTTAAATAATATATGATTGTAATATAAAAATCAATTCATTTTTTCCCTTTCCGATTTCTCTTGACAAGTATCAAAAAATTTATTATCAGAAAGCCATAAAATGATATTTTTTTGATAAACAACTGAATATATATTAAATAAAGAAACTCCAATTACTCAAAAACAGAGCTGCAGAGCACAAAACAGAATACAAAGTAGAGAATTGCCCCTCAAAAAACACGCTACAATAAAGAGGGATGCACTCCTGTTCTATCTTGTCAATATTGGAACCTTTGAGGTGGTAAAACATGGACTTGTATGTTTTAGCTGATGGCGTTAAGTTCAGATACTTTCCTTTGATAGGGTCTGCAACTATCATTAGCTGTAATATTGCTATTTTGAGTGTTTCCAGTGCTGAAAATATTATAAAAAGTGTTATATTGAAATTTGGAAGTTGTGCTAAATGAAAGTAAATGATAAAGTTCTTACTGCTTATTGATGTTTTACCTTTTGCAGGATTCTCTTGGAGGAAATAGCAAAACGGTTATGATTGGTGAGTTGCTTCTCATTTGTTCTTGCTTTTTTCCCATTTAATTGGGTAAGAATAAAATTATAGAGACTATTATTTCTATTTTGCACTTTCTAGAGTTCATTGCCCATTCTGCCTTTATTTTATTTTACTATATTCTTGTTATAGCTTGTGTGAGTCCTGCTGATACAAATGCCGAGGAAACATTAAACACCTTGAAGTATGCCAATCGAGCTCGCAACATTCAGAACAAGGCTATTGTAAGTCAAAATTTTAGATACCCTCCCTTGGTTTTTTTCCCATCAAACTATGAAACTTAAGTATTTAACTGGTACTGTTGCAGGTCAATCGTGACCCAGTGGCAGCTCAGATGCAAAGAATGCGGAGCCAAATTGAACAGTTACAGGCTGAGCTTCTTTATTTTCGTGGTGAAGGTGGTATATCTTTTGATGAGCTCGAGGTATAAAATCTACAAGATATGTTGATGAATGATATTGTTTTCATGGGAATCAAACTTATGAGAAAAAAATCTTTCTGGTTCTAGATTCTTAAGCACAAAATCTCAGTACTTGAAGCAAGCAATGCAGAGCTACACCGGGAGCTTCAGGAACGCCAAATTGCTTGTGATCATCTATCACAACGGGCTCTTGATGCTCAGGTTTGTCTAATTTGTTTGAATACTTGACTAAATGTTTCTTAAGGCTACTGCAAGGCTGCATTTTAATGCTACACCCACAAATGAAATATCCAACAGACCAACTTTGTTCTTTGGATTTTACCTGTACCCCTTAGAGATTGCTGAGTTTGACGAGAATGTTCTTTTTTAAGCAATGCAAAGAATAAGTTCTTGTTTAAGATGTTACTGTTTTCATATAATTTGATAGTATCTTTGCCTTATTATCATTCTACATTGAGCAATTCTCCTCATGCAAGTTATGCTTATTTTAAACACGTTCAAATCCAATTAAAATCTTTCATGTATCTCATTTTAATTTCTCAGGTTGAGAAAGATAAATTGATTATGAAAATTGAATCAGCTCGAAATGCAAAATGTTGGGATGAGATTGATTGTGGTAATATGAAACAGGTTTGTTGAAACTTTTTTTTATTTGGATCTATTTTTCTTGTGTAACCTCTATGATCAGAGATTCATGGCTTTACTTGTGTTCTAACATCTTTCCTTCTTCAGGAATTTGACCTAATGAAGGCCTATGTCTCAAAAATTCAAGAACTTGAAGGAGAACTGCTACGGCTACAGAGCCTGAATAACTCTAGTAGCACTCGTTTTATGGATTCTCTCAATTTGGAAGATGATGGTCTGCGGTCAAAACATGCCTATCTTGCAGAATGTCTCCATGACCTTCCATCTGTTTGTGATAGAAAAGCCACTGAGGTTTCTGGTGAGCCTCTTGTTCTCATTGTGTTACACCATTTTATTGAAGTTTATCTTTTTGTGCTTGATTCGTTTGAGTGATCTGAAATTCTCTGCTGCTTCATATTCACCAGTCTTCCTATGTTATTGCTATTCTTTAATAATATCATATCATATCAAATCTAATCTCATTATATTTTGGATCAATGTTTTGAAAATCGTAATCGTAGAGAAAGTTGAGTCGAATTGTGAATCGTATTGTAAATTGTAAGATTATTTCTTTTTTTTATAAACTTGTCAAAAAAATAAATATAGATATATTAAAGGGCTAAATATATATAGGAAAATGACTTTACCCTATTTTTAATCTATATACCATATATGTACCTAAAATAATAGAATTAACCACTTATGCAATAGAAGCCTGAGATGATATAATCAAGTTTGACTTGAAAGTCAAACAAATGCACATACAATGGCTCTTTAACCTACATATGGTGGAAAATAAACTCAATTTGTAGTCTTAAATAACATAAATAAATAATTTTCTAGTAAGGGCTTAAAAGAAAATCTCCCTTGACAAAACTAAATATAAACAAAAACATCACAAAGTAGAGAATTAATTCTTAATTGAATTTATTTGAATCGTATAAATCGTAAGATTTTTGCAGAAAAGGATTCGGACAATAAGATTCAAATCGAAACCCTTGGGTTTCATGATTCAATTGTGAATCGTAAGATTTTGACAACATTGTTTTGGATGGAACTACACATGGTTGGCCCAGGGGATGTGCACAGAAGACATCACTTGATATCTATTCTTTCCTCTCTTTCTCTCTCTCTCTCTGTAAATGTGTGTGCCTGTGATTGACTACATATGGTAGAATTTCTAAGTTTGTTTTAGTGTTTTAATGGAAGTGTTTTTGCTCAATTGTCATTGTCCAGTTTTCAAGTTTGAATTTCTCAGTGAAATCTTAGTGATATATGATTGGGTTCACAATTCACATGCAGATGAAATGGATGAAGTTGAAAAAGAGTTGGAACATACTTCCATTCAAGATCAACTGGACCGTGAGCTCCAAGAATTGGACAAGCGTCTTGAACAAAAGGAGGTTATAATGCTTTCTTTTCTAAACCATCAATAGCACCATTCAATCTTCACATTTAATTGCAGAGGATGACTTCACTCACATTATATAGCTCAACTTGGTCTTTGGTTTTGATCTATGGCAAATGTTTTGGAATTTTAGCATAACTTGATCACCTTGAGCTTTGTATTTAATTAGGGATGAGATATAAAGAAACTTCCATGATCTTAGATACAATATGAGTTTATGGGGTATGATTCTGTAGAATGCAAACTGTTTTTACTCTAAATTTATTTATGATGTTCTGAATTCACTACATAATTTAGTGGGTATTTCTTGGTTGGTTGAGATATACTAGTTTCCTGAAACTTGAAACAATGTGGTAAAAAGCTTGCATTAAATATTGCTTTTCTTTGGCCTTCTTTTTTCATGCACACTGGTGAAGTCTCTAATTGGATTTGCTTTTCCAACTGGATTTTATTCCAAAGATGTGATCTTAGAGCTCGCTTACACTAAGTATACCATCAGTGGGAACTTTGCTTTCCAGTTTGGGTTTTGATGGATAAGCTTTGACTTGATCATTATTAGAAGAAGAAATAAAAAGTAAATATTGGAAGAACTGGTAGCAGATACATCTCTAAACATTCTTAGTTCTTGTTCGTACTGTTCCATTATTCATTCTGCCAATTTTTCTGTTTAATGAAGGCTGAAATGAAGCGATTTACAAAAGTCGATACTTCAGTCCTGAAACAACACTATGAGAAGAAAGTTCATGAGTTGGAGCAAGAAAAGAAAGCTTTGATGGTAAATTTGTTTGTGAAGCTTTGAAGTGAAGACTCTTGATGATTATTTCTTAATGGTGTTTGTTGTTATTTTGCAGAAAGAGATAGATGAACTAAAGTGCAATCTTGCAAATATTTCATCTGCTTCAGATGGTGGTGCTCAAAAGTTAAAGGAGGAATATCTTCAAAAATTGAATACTCTTGAAGCACAGGTTGGTCCTTTTTTCTTTACCTTCGTTAACTTCCATCACATTTTTGAAGCTCATTACCACTTTTTTTTGATGTTGCAGGTGTCAGAGTTGAAGAAGAAGCAAGATGCTCAATCTCAACTTTTGAGACAAAAGCAGAAGAGTGACGAAGCAGCAAAAAGATTACAAGAAGAGATTCAGAGAATAAAAACTCAAAAGGTGCACATTTATTGCAAGATATAATTTATCTAGTTGGTGAGATACCTACCAAGCCCTTAATCATTTTCATTTTCAGGTCCACTTGCAACATAAGATCAAACAAGAGTCTGAACAGTTTAGGTCATGGAAAGCATCACGTGAAAAGGAAGTCCTTCAGGTATATGCATGTTGCTGATCTGTTAGGTCCAAGCATAATCTAGTGATATTTTTAGTACAGATCCAGATCTTCTTGGGCTGAACCTGGTTAATTTATTATAGCGATTCTAGTGTAGAACAAGTAGATCCTACCACTTTCAGATCTCATCATGGGCTTTGTAGTGTGAACAAAGACTATTTGGATGATCATGAGTTCATGATGAAGAACAAATATGGAGAAGCAAGTAAACAGCTTGCTGTCCACTTAAGAATGGGCAGGAGATTAGCAAGAAAGAGAAGAACTCTTGCTAGTTGATAAGACAGCAAAGAGACAGGTCACTCAGAAGAAGAAATAAGTAATGAAAAAAAGGAGAAAATACATTTCAACCATCAGAATCCACTAAGTTGAACTTTTATTCATCAAAAGAATTCCTCTAATGTGCAATAATGCAATTACAATGACCATTTTTAGTGTCTACCTGAGGGCTCTTATATCCTCATATAGATCGCAAACTCAACTAGGAAATTAAGCCAAGATAACTTATAATTACTCAGGAGCTGGTAAACTTGTAATTAACCGATAGGGACACTCAAATAATGACTCTAGCTCCTAAAACAACTCTAACAAACCATTACTAGTCCTAGCTAAACAAACCAAAACTAACACAAGAGGTGAAGAAAAAATGTAGACTGAAATTTCATCATAGACTAACACCCTATTAGTAAAACAATCCCTATTCTATCAAAAGACTTTAGATTTACAAGACATAATTCTAATTTGATGGATGAATCAATAACCAACAGATCGTTTGGTCCTTGAAAAATAGGCTTGAAGAAAAGTCATGTGATTACAACTTTAATTTCTCAAAATTCAAAGAATTCTTTAAGATAATTTACTCTATTACAAACAATGAATTCCTTTACTCAAAGACTTCAATCAGGGCCCATTGCTGGTCTAATGGTAAAATCTTGGGCTGACAGGAGTGAGGAAACAAGTTTGAGTATGAAAGCGGTCACTGTGTGCAAAATGCCTAATGTTCATGTTTGTATCCAGTCTACCTCTCCCAAGACCAAGACCCTAGATAGCTGGGACCAACACTAGAAATTGGCCTTTTACTCTTAAAACTTAAGTTGACCAATTCCTATGTTACATGGATTTGCATCAGTGCTGTCAATGAGTGTGGTCTGCCACAGTTTATGGCAGACCCAGTCCCAACTCAGTGAGTAAATATGCAGAACCAGACCCTTTAGTGTTTGTAATTGGGAGTTTGGGACTATCAGGTCTGAGTCGTCTGACCTGATAAGACCTGATTGTAATTGACAGCTGTAGTTTTAACCTGTAATTTGACAATAGACCTACTTGTTAGAATGGGAGTATCTTTGTAAATGCCAATGTCTTCACTCATTTCTTTTTCTCAAAGCCATTTGCTAGGAAATTATATGCTTCAAATGTTTTTCTTTGTTAAAGAACCGTTTAGCCTAAAAGCTTAAGCTGTTAGGTGAGGTCCCTGAATAGGTTTTTATTCTCTAACACGCCCCTCATGTGAAAGCCTATTAGGCTTGAAGCATGGACAAGCACAAACCCACCCATGTGAAAGAATCGTTCAACTTAAAAGCTTAAGCTGTTAGGTGAGGTCACTGATTAGGTTTTATCTATAACAATCTTATTTATGTTGACCTTTCAATTTTTTTCTATGACATCACTGTCCATGGGCTGTATACCTGTATCTAGTTTTCTTTTAGATAGCTTACTCATTTGTTTCACCTGTCTATTTGTCTTTTTTTTTTTTTTTCTTTTGGGGATACAGTTTTATTTTTTCAGTTTCTTTGTTGCTTTATAGCTAATGTATCACATGACATTACCTGCTCTGATCTGCTTGTATCATTTAATATTAGCTGCTATAGATTTATGTTAATAATTTTGAGCTACTACTATCCAAGCTTTGATATTACTCCAAACCAATCCAGATTCTTTCGTTTTCCTTGTTCTTGTCTCTCCAAGTATAGATCAATAGACAGATCAATCTCATGCTTGTTCTAGTTCCCTAATTCCATCATGTGATTTATAAATTGACTTCGCCATGAACACTATAAATACATGCCATCATTTAACCATGTATGTTTTTGGCTACTATTTTTTCCTTCTTTGTCACTGAAGCTGTTGGGTTTCATTTTGGGGTTTGTTGAATTAATTGAAAGGGTTAGGACCTGAATATCAACAAAATGAAAAAGTTGATGTCTAATCAAATGCAACAACCCTGCAATATTTAAATTCTAAAATAACAATCCTTGTGCCCCTTTTGGGCATTGAATGCTTTTGACTTTCAATAATTTCTGGTTGGCTTGACCTAGCTCCTTAGGTCTTCTCTGACCTACACTAGCCTGCCTAAGAAAGCAGCCTATGTGCAACTACTAATATGATCAGCATCTAGTTTCATGGATTTTTGTGATCAACACTTGGCTAGTGTTGTCTCTAAGGCATCAAAGGGGCATATGTTACATTTATGCTAAATCCATACTCCATTGTTTTGGTTGACCTAATCACTGCTTTTTTTTTTCAAAGATTTGAGACTGTTTATAGTATTAGAATGAATGTTTGTTTCAGTGTTCTGGTAATATGCTTTTATAATGTGGATGGGCTTTACACTTAAAAGGCTGGTTTGGAAACAGTGTAAATGCAATAATATGCTATAAATCATGACACCTCCAGTTCAGGTGCATGCAAAGTGGGACCGGGTTTTGACTTTATTTTACACTCTTCTTGTTTGGAAACTAACAATGCAAAACATGCTTCCCATAAATGGAAGAACGGCGTGAATATTTACTTGCGGATGGAAAGACTCCATGGATATTAAGAAATGAGATCAAGAAAATTAAGCACATCACAAAAGATATCCAGTTAATAGTTCAGTGGACTCCAAGAGTAGCAAATGGGCTTGCGGATTAGCTAGAAAAGCAAGGGGTTAACAGGGAACAATGTTTCTGGGCTCTATTATAAGATTGTAAGGCAAATATTGGGTGGAATGTTATTGGGCATTTGGGGTAGTCGAGGCTACCCAATCTCTGTACTAATTCTCATATCCTTTTCTTTAATAAATTTACTTTTACTGATAAAAAATATTTACTTTGTTAAAATCAAAGTAGTTTTTCGCCCCAAGATTGAAGTAAACTCTGATAAGTTTGCAAGTTTACTTCGACCTTAAGGGTATTTTCATATCGTTTCCAAATGTGTGCAAATTAGGACTGGGGTGCAATAATGCACCAAATCGGCATTTACGTTGTTTCCAAACACAGCCTAAGTTACAGCAATAATCAGTTCAACCATCTTCATGCGAAAAATATATTCTCTGTTTTGTTGTGATTTATCTGTCATTCTTGATGGTCTAATAGGAATTTATCTTTTCAATTAATAGCTCAAAAAGGAGGGGAGAAGGAATGAGTATGAAATGCATAAGCTATTGGCCTTGAATCAGAGACAAAAGATGGTAAATGCATTATTATTCTAAGAAGTTAAAGACATTCCGCAAGTATACCGGTTGTATATTCAAATTTGCTTGTTCATGTCAGGTTTTACAACGGAAGACTGAAGAAGCTTCTATGGCTACAAAACGACTAAAAGAGCTATTGGAAGCTAGGAAAGCTTCATCACGTGAAGTATCTGGTAAGAAGAATTATTGCTTTATTCAGTATTTTTTTCTTAACATAATTATAATTTTGGATTTTATGATTTCACAGGTGCTGGAAATGCAAATGGTCCTGGAATTAAGGTATTGTAGTGAACCATGGATATTATTTAGTAAAAATGTTATTGAGTTCCTTTTTTATTTTGCTAGGAGTAAGAACTAAGAAAGATATAATATGCTTGTAACTTGCATAAGCCATATGCCTGAGCTACATGTGGACAAGGTGTATTTGCTAAAATGTATTTTTTTTCAAGGCACTGATGCAGGCAATTGAACATGAGCTTGAAGTCGCTGTACGAGTGCATGAAGTTCGTTCAGAGTATGAGCGGCAAATGGAAGCGTAAGCCCTAATTTGGTTTTTAGCTCTTTCAATTCTTCACTCAAAGCCGCCAATTGTATTTTTCTGGTTTGCTTGTGAACTGTTCTTACTTTCTACATCAAAGAGTTTAGTTTCTTTATGGATCCTGTCTACAAGAGATTCACATGGTTCAGAATGGGAAACTATTCTCAGTAATTATTATAGAAAAGAAAACTGATTAAAAGCTCTTCACTGGACATGCATAAGAGAAACATAAGTTACTGATAGATGGCCTTTACCTTAGTAGTGCAGATAGTTGAAAAGATCTGTCCCTCATCTGAAGTTAAATAATACAATTATTACTATTTCATGGTTTCACATGCACTTCTTTCCGTGTGATTCTAATTCATTTGTGTCAAGTTAGACTAGTCATATAACTACTAATCCACTTTCTCTGCCATGGTTCCCTAGTCATTGTCATCCCTGCCTTGTCCCAGCTATATGGGGTCGGCTACATGAATCCTAGTAGCTCGCAAAATTATTGAAATAGGATGCTAAGAAAAAATTGTAATTATACAACTCTTTTCTTTCAGTAATTTGGCTAGACGTTCTGCTTATAGACTTGTAGAACAAATTGTGGAATATTTGTTTCTGTTTAATTTCGATTTATCATTTTTCTTTGGGTGGGTTTACCGCTTTTCTGGTCTGCTTTGCTTGTTTTTTTTTTCAATTTGACTTAAGTATCCACCTATTTATCTTTCTATCTATCTTTACAAACACACAAGGCTATTACCCAATGTTGGTCCCAGCTATCTGGGAGGGGGGGTGGGATCTTGGGATGGATGAATGGACTCCAATCTTTGGCACAAAGTGACCGGTCTCAGATAAGAACCTGCATTTTGTTCTTGTCAGTCCAAGATTTTAGCATTACATCAAGCAATGACCCCTATATTGATATGACCGATGATTTAACAATGAATACGAGTATATGATACTGAATAGAATGGAATGGTGGAAGAGGATTCATCTAGCAAACTCTATATGGTTGGGTCAAAGTGTAGATGTTGATGATATATGTATAAATTCATGTATGTGATGATAAGTTGTCTACCTTGTTATTAGGAGGGCTGCCATGGCAAAGGAGGTAGCAAGCCTAAAGGAAGAAGCAGAATTGCTAAAACAGAAAAATATGAGGTAAATTCTCTTGCTGCTATGCCTTCTTTCTAGTGACCGGTTATGCTGTTGTCTGTTGCTACATTATTTGGTCTCTTGACTCTCATGCATAAAAACCTTGGTATGCAAAAATGGCAACCATTACAGTGACTGCCCTCAGACAATGTCTCCTGGTGCAAGAAATTCAAGGATTTTTGCACTTGAAAATATGTTGGCCACTTCATCTAGCACCCTGGTGTCCATGGCCTCACAGTTGTCAGAGGCAGAGGAGCGTGAACGTGTCTTCAGTGGGAGGGGCCGGTGGAATCAAATACGATCCATTGGAGAAGCCAAAAATGTTATGAATTATTTGTTCAATTTGGCATCTTCTTCAAGGTACCTCTCTCTCATTTTCTATACATGTATGTGTAATATGTGTATATTTATATACCAGTGCATGTATTGAGTTTGTTCTGCTGCACTGATTTTGATTCAGTTGCATTTTGTTTTACCCACTATATCACTCCATATTTGGGTATTGTGGTTTATTTTGTTTTTATTTTGATGACTGATCTTTTGGTTGGTGGGATGTAGAAACTATGACTTGGACAAGGTGGTTTCACATATATTGTTTTCATTTCTAGAGAATGGTTCCTTTTCATTTTATTTTCTTTGATTATCTAAATTTAACTTGTCTATTTACTAATAATTGTTTTAGCACATCTTTCTTTGTTTGTTTAGAGGTTAGTTTGTTAAAAGATCCAACTCCAATTCTTCATATTTGCCTGAGGTTTGAGCATTAACTTCATTACTCCTAATCAATTTGATATTGTCATTACAGCACATTGCTTAATTGAAAAAAAAAAGTGTTCAATTAGGGAACTAGCGTGGTCTTGGTTAAAAGGAGATAATTCTATATGTTTGCTTTGTTCTCATTTTCCCTCAGGCTTCTAGGTTTTCTATTTTAAGTGATGCCATGTAAAGTCTTCCTTTTATCATGGCATTAAGATTGATTTAAAATTTGTTAGAATTGGGGATCATGTTTAGGTGGAAAAATAAGAAGTTTTCTTACTGATTTAGTTGTTCCATTTCCACTTAATGCCTGTTCTTTATACATTCTACCTTTCCATTGTTGGCTTTGTCAGATGTCAGTTACGAGATAAAGAGGTAGATTGCAGGGAGAAGGATTCTGTAATACAAGAGCTAAAGGAAAAGGTAGTGAAATTAACTAGTTTGGTTAAACAAATGGAAGTAGAAAAGACAGAAATTCTTCGTCAGCAAAAGTTACAGGTTTGTGGACTTTGCCTGCTTCTTTGACTTTTCAGATGTTTCTCAATTAGCTATTGGATATGATGTGATCTATGCTAATGTTATCCATATTATACCCATATCAGAAGACTGGCCATTTATTGTCACTTTCAAACTGCATGCTTTCTTCTTTTCATAGATATGAATGTAATCCATTGGCCTATTTTTACTTGTAAATGATATTATAAATATTGTATTTCTCGTTAAATAACATTTAGCTACAAAAGCTGCTTGTTTTGTTTCATATGTTCTGTTCAGATATTGGGTGCTTGGTCTAGCTGCTTATTTGACTATTAATACATGGAAATTGTCCTTGGTTGCTTTTAGTTGCAGCATACGGCCAGGTGGTATTATTATGGCTACTAGTTCTACATGATATCTGAAAACAAATGGTTGATAACCATTAGAGATTTGCAAACACCATCAATTTTCTAACAAGTTGCAAGGAATTGATCTATACTGTTCCCTCGTACTCATCGTCACATGAATATCATTAGTTTTTTGAAAAGTGGTAGACGAACTAGAATTTGTCCTTATTGATAAAAAAACTAGAAATTGTATTTTTTTTTTGATAGTTAAAACTAGAATTTGTCTTTCGTTATATGCAAAGTTCTCTCCCTAGGTTTATGGAACATATTTGACACTACACTAAAAGCTGCTCCTATTTGCAATTATTGGGGCTATAATATGTTATAAGTCTTTATTATTAGTAGTATTAAGCTTTTATACATGCAAGATTTAAGGCCCATGGATGCCTCTAAGGTATTGTTTGGTAGGGGACTAGGACACAACTAAAAGTTGGTATTGAATGGATCTGCATCACTAGATAAGTTTAAATATGCAAGCCCATGCATACATCAAAGGTACAACAAGGGCATGGCTCTTGCAATATAAATATGTTATCTATATTTATGTATGCTTTTTTTTTTGATATTAATGAAGTGGAAATTTCAGTGAAATATGAAAGATTACATTTGATAGGTGAAATGATTTCAGCTTGCAAGTAACCAAGCATACATCTGACTTAACATAAGCATCAATTACATCTTTAAAATCTCCATAAAGTCTAAAGTTGAGCATAAGCTTGCCTCAGAATATTCTCTTCTCAAATCTCTACATTCATGATGAGCTAATGACTATTCCACAATTAGCAAACATATTTCGGCAACCAATTTCCTTCTCAAATAATATTCTATTAAAAAATGCATCATTAGCTGAGAATCTTGGCTATAAAAAAGATCTCTATTGGAACAATGGGTCCAATAAACTTTGCCTAAATGCTTGGAATTGAAAATCTCTTGATTTCAAATGGTCAACATTGGATGCTGTCAAATGCTAACATCCAACCAAATGCTCCAACTCTAGGTGGAATTAGGTTACTACAAATTCCTTCAATCATCAATGTTACTCTCTGTTTTTTAATTATCATTTCATAGAAGATGATTGGAAAATTTTCTGTCAAAACATTTTTTTCACTATCTTGCAATTGGCATTTTAGGGTTAATTTTCAATAATGGCCTTCCAAAAACCAGGCACCAAACAATGTGCTCTCCCCTCTCTTCAAAACATTGAGCCAAAATTTCACCTTGCAATTTCTGCATAGAATCTCATCATTCCTTGCATAAATTGTTTTAGTCTCACGCAAATCTTACAAATTCCTTCTTCATAAAACATGGCTCTCTTTTCGAAACCTCTATAACCATTTTTATAATAATACATCATCTAGTTATTTAATTCTTCTAATCCTCAAACATCATACTTCATGGTCCTGCATGCTTTATCCCACTTCACAAAATGTATTTTCTTCCTTCTACCACCATTCTACTAAAAATCCTGTTGATTTTTTTTCCTAACTGATAAGTCTGATCTGCTATTTTGCTAGAAAATTTAAAACAAATAGGAAAAGAATAGAGAAATTGGAAAAACCATTCTTAATAACAGTAGTCCTATCAACCAACAAAATTTTTTTACATTTCTAAGTCGCCAATCTATTTTCCATTCTCTTATTAAATCCTATATTTAAGATAGTTTTCACTAATAAATGATACTGATTAGATCTATGTCAACCTTTTTAAACTATAAACTCATATATTTTAAAACTGACTCAAAAATAAGACCATTCTTTATCCAAGTGGTGGGTATTCAACCATCCGAATCAAATTGATCAACCTATGGAGTCACATTTAGGTAATGAAAAATTTAAAATAGAAATAAATATAGAGAATTACAGAAATATATAAACGAATAGACACATTTCAGATATTTTTATCAATCAAATTAAAAATAAGTGTAATAAACAAGAATTATTTTTGTTGATAATGAAAATGAACTACATAATTTAGAACCAACAAAAAATTACATTATTTTACTGTTTGCTAAGACCAATTGTTCAACTTTTGGGTCAAACGTGTTAACATTTAATGTCATAAATAAATATTAAAAATTAATAAAATATAAAAACACAAATTTTGAAAAGGAAACATTCAGGCACATGTATAATATCATATTAAACAAAAAGTAAGTGTGACATTAGAAATTGAGAATTATTTTTACACACATAAATACACAAAAATTATAGAAAAAATTGAGCACATCTATAATTCTACATTTACACTACTATTAAAAATGTGAATAAGATTGTGGAACTTTCTTTTGACTAAAATACTTATTTTTGAATTTAGTCCTTATTTAATTGGGAGGGTTAACTTGTAAATTGAATTACTACTTTCACCTCATTCAATTTGCTATATTTAAATCTTACATTTCTTTGATAAATGAACAAAACAACAAAGATACACAAAAAAGATAAAACATTACAAAAAGGTCCTATTATCACATATTTGGATGAGGCGTTTATGTAACCAGATTTGGATTTTGCAATCTTCATCTGATTAATATTAAAAAACAAAAAATAAAGCATGTGCAAAGCATGTGCATGCTTAGTAGTATATTAAAAGAACTCCCAACTTGACATCCCAATACTCTTGAGCCTATTCCTGTCTTGGCACTCTTGGTGTGTTTTACATTCTGTTGTGGATGATGGTTCTTTTGGCAACTATGAGAACTTGCTAGGTTTCTTCTGTTGTCACTCTTTAATGTTTATATCTCATGCTCTCAGTGTTCATCCTCTTCATATCAAAGAAAAGCTTTTGCAATTATAACAAATACAAATGCCAATACTCATGTGAAACGTATTTTGTAATTCCTATAGGATGGTGCTTAATTTTCTAGTTTACAAATTCTTTATTTCTTTTTTAGTGCATCTCCATTTTTCATAAAGGTGACACCCCCCTAATCATGATACTGGGAATCATTGTTTTTGATTATACTGGAAACCATTATTTTGATTATAAGCCCATGAAATGAATATTTTAGTTTAATAATGTCTATTTTATTATTATAACCTCTAAAAGTAAAGAATATAAAAGTGTTCCATACTCCATAGCAGTATGTACTATGTGCAAAATAGATGGACAGTTAAGCGAGGTGAGTACATGACCCTTCATGGCTACCTTGTTGGCTAGGCATCACCTTGACGACTATGTATAATATGTAACAAATAATATATGCATAAATCTTATGTTATACTTTATGTAATATAAAATATTTTATATAATATGTATTATGTGTTATAGTGTATCTATTTATATATAATATTAATATAAAATAAAATGAGACATAAATGTATGCATATTATTTTTAATATATAAATAACTGTGGCTCATACTAGGCCTAAGCCCGTCCCATAAATTTGCTGGCTTGGGCCTGAATGCAACCTAGGTCCAAGCTGGGGGTGATCATTTCCAGCCTAGACTAGAAGCCAGGAAATTTCCATGCTTGAGCCTAGGTCTTGCATCTGGGCTTGGCCTGGACCCACTTCAGGCCCAGAAATTTCAGGGTTGAGCCTCTAGGCCCAATGCTTCAATCTCAGTCCAACCCACAACATATATTATATATTTTACATACTATATTTATATTATAAAATATTATATTATTATAATATATATATATATCTATAAAATTATATGTATATATTATATTTTATATATAATACATATACAAATGTTGTTCTCTCATACACATGAGTCAACTCATGTATGAGAGAATAGCTTGTTCTCTATTCTGTCCTTATAGGCCTTCATTCTAATAATTAGGCAATGTGGGACAATACTCAGTATTGAGTGAAAGCCTTGCTTTGATCTATATAAGGATAGACAGACATGAGTGTTGAAGCCCATATTTCTTAATGGCATAGGCACAAAGCCAAGCCAAGTCTGACCCAGCCCAGGCTCGTGCAATATTTTTTTTTGTGTTGTACATCATATGATATAAAATATTATAAATAAATAAATTTTTATTAATTTATTTCATAGGCCCAAAGCCTGGTCCAGGCCTGTACAAACCTGATCCTGGGCTTATATTTCAGGCCCTGGGGTATGGGCTGGGTCGGGTTTGGGCCTTTGACTATAACCCATATCATAGGTACTAAGCGCAACCAAGCCCATGATGACCCATTGCCCAAGTGCAGAATTTCTAGGCCAGGCTGAAACTGATCACCCCTAATTCAATGGTATTGGAAATAAAATTAATTGGGTTGCATCATAGTGTGTACAAATTTGCTGCTCCTATTCAATGAATAACTTCATTCAACAAAATTATAACTTGAAACCTATTTTAATTTAAATAAAGGCACTGCTTGGAAGTAGTTTGATAGATATGAGCTGTGTTGCGGGAGCTCAACTTCCTGAATGGTTGCTTGGGGAAGGGGAAAGAGGGAAAGAGAGAAGAGGGAATTTGGGAAAATTCAGGTCTACCTCCAGCTGATGGAGAGGTAGTCTTATATACTCAACCGTTGCAGTTTGTTAGACGGTTACAACCATCAGAGATTAAGGCTAATGTGTCCTTCTAGTGTAATCAAACTTCAGTGGTGCTATCAGATTTGAAACACCTTTGCTGTTAGCATGTGCACAGCTGTTAGAATTTCCCTTGGTGTCCATCTCAGTTGAGCTGCTAGCATTGGGTATGAAATGTGAACTATGCCTGCCAACTCTTGGATCAAGCAATATGATAACATTTAAAATAGTTTCTTATAACTGCACTTTGGAAAGAATGCTTAACTGTCTTATTGTCTTGTATACTTGGTAAATTTCTACTTTTTCTTGTTTCCTATGAAAATTGGTTAACCTATTTTGCTTCATTGTATCCTATTATGCTGTACAGAAATTCTAAATGTTATCAGGTTGCATGTCATAAACTTTTATTTTTGTTCTTCATTCTGATTTCCTCCATGCAAACTATTCCTTCCTACAATCAATCTTTTCTCTTCAATCTGCTCTACTGCACATTGATAGAAGTAAATTTTATTAATCTACTCGCCCATATATGGTTCAATTGCCCATAAATCGTATGTTTATTGTTCAATATTATATTGGTTGTTACCAAAGTTCTCTTGTGCTAATCTTACTATTGCTTTGTCTTGGGGCTTGTTAGAAACTAACACTGAAGAGCTGCCCTATTGATAATGCGACAAACTCTCAGGATCACATCCCAAACATTGGGGAAGGACACATCTATGACCTGCGCAAGGTACTCCCCTTTTCTATCCCTTTATATTCCTTAGGGTAAGATTTGTCATTGAGACAGACCATGATCTTCTGCTTATGCTTGCTCTGATTGACATAAGGGTCCTCGAAGCTCCATTATCTTCAGTTATGGTGGAGTGAACCCAGAGTTGTTGGACATGGACATATCTGAATCAGATTGTTCTAGTGGGGAAGAATCTGAGTCAATCGATGATGAGTGGGTGGAATCTGGCAAACGCCGTGTCAAGAAGAGTTCTAAAACTAGAGTGCGAACAACAGTTACAACCCATCCCTTGGATGTCAGTGCTCCAGATGGCATTAACTTAGAGACCACATGTGAGGAAACAATCTCTAAACTTGGACCAGTATCAAGTGCATGTAGCTGTAGTAGAGCTTCCTCATGCAAGACTGCAAAATGTGAATGCCGTGCTGCGGGGGCCACTTGTGGTGTAGCTTGTGGCTGTAAAGAAGCTAAGTGTGCAAATAGAGGAACTGTTAAAATAAAGATGGATGAACCACTTTCATCAGATGTGACTGAAGGCAGTGGAAACTGTAGTGGCAATGATGAAATAGAGAAGAATAGGACCCTTGTCTCCCATGGTACAATGTTGCTTCAAGGTGCACTAACTGAAGCGAATGAAGATGGTGGGACACAGAGGAAGCCCCTATCTGACATTGGGAACACAATGGTATGTTTGACTTCTAGTTATAAAGATTTAGTAGTTTTTTCATTTCTGAAATTATTGGTATGCTTCTTATTGCATATTATATTTAATTTGACCTTTTATCAAGGGTTTGATACTTTTGAAAGTTTTTCATGTCTCTGATTTTTCTGTTAAATTCAGGTCATGCCAATCTCTAGGTGTAATATTTCTCTTCTTTTGTTATCTTTTCTAGAGATTTTCATCTTTGTGTTAATGCTGGATTCCTAATCGCATGGCAGGCTATGGCAGTTCTAACTAAACTCCTTTCATGGGTCTACTTATCAAACACTTTGTTCGTAATTCTACATTCCTATGCTAACGCAAGTCTAAATTCATGCAGCCCAAGTCAAATGCACCAAAGCCAATCCAAAGAAAGAAATGGCGGAAAACATCCCTTCAACTTGTTCCAGTTGCTCCACCCTTGGACCAACCAGAAAACAGTGAAGCCCCAATTAATGCAGAGAGCAATATGGTTGAGTCGGATGTTCCCTTGAAGTTGCCACGGGCAATGAGATCTGCAACCATGAACAATTCTAACACCTTGAAAGAGAAGAATTGTGACCATATAGATGAATCAATTGTCAACAAAGAGGTGGGAACTGCTGCTCCAAAAAGTCCTGTTCGGCAGGCAAGAATGTTAGATGAGAAAGAGAACCACATGATCTAATTCACATTTGTTTGTTTCAGTTGGTGAAACCCATGACTACAAGTCTAACAACCCATTGAAAGTCATGATGCCACCTTGAATGACAGGTACCTGAAACAGAAGTTTGGACCTTACAAACTGCAAGTTGTTGTAAGCCTACCAGAATTGATCAAATTCATGTAACCAATATGGAATTATAACTCTCTTGGCAACGAGCAAGGGTTGATCAATCTTCTCCCAAGATATGGGTCATTTCATGCAGAAAGGAGATGGTAGATCTCAATTGTAATGTAATTTGTAATTTGAACGGATGATTATGTTTGGGACTGTTTGTTCCAATTCTTTCTCTTGTTTAAATTCGTTTTTTTACTATTCTTCAGATCTATGATTCTAAGTTGTTGCCATTTCTCATTTTCACAATTGATAGGCAGCCTTGCAAATAATCTTCATCCATTAGGCCATCAGGGTGATTCCAGCTTCAGGAGTGATCACTTCAGAGTTCAGATCCGAAATCTAAGATGAGTCTGTTAAATAAAACCAAACCGATTTAAATCTTATGTCCATCTGATTGAAATCCTGAATAGCTCAAGGCTTCAAATTGTTGAAAGGCTATTAGTTGCAGTGTTGCACAGTTCTAGAGAGCATATGCTGCTAGCACGATGCATGTGTTTTATGTCCACGAGTCAATACGTTTTCCTATTAGAATTCAAACTCCCATTTCAAGCTCTATTTTTTGGACGAACAATTCGTTGAACGTAAAAGAGCATAGCGCTTCGTATCACATATTAATTATATCTTTGCATGTTAGGGTATCCGAATATGCTTGAGCCTAAAGCATCAACTCAGACCAAGTTTCTCCCTTGCATGGCCCGGATTTCAGTTTAAGGTGTGAAATTGAGCTCAGAAAACCCTAGGGAATCATGTCAAGGTGATTACTGAAAGCTCTGTCCGGCCTAGAACAGAATGTAGTAGCTGATGTGAACAAAGCTTCCAAAACATATGAAGGATTGGCCCCGAGTGGAAAGAAGCATCAAATTTTCATAAACAATCACCATAACTGAAATGAAACAAAAAAGGAAAAAAAAAGAAAAGAAAAATAGATTACTGTACATACATGGGAACCATACAACAGGGTTTTGCAAGACATGAAATTTTTAATTATCCCTAGGTTCAAGCTTGGAAAGCTGAATGTTCCATGAAAACGGCCCTCCAAGTCTGACTCATGTCCTTTCCGAGACTAGGAATGTTTCAAGTTCCTCTCTCCGTCGCTCCAATTCCTGAATTTGTTCATTGGAGTGTATTGTTCAAAAACATTTGTTTCAAGTGAAAATCAGATATGCTCAATTGACCAAGTTTGAAATTAAGCATAATAAATCATTAACAAGAACAAATTTATAAAATACAAAAGTAAGAATTAATATATGCCAAATTATTTTACTAATGTGTCCCACAAAAAAAATCATTTTATTAATGCAAACTCATGCTAATGGAAAACAAGGTCAACAAGCTTTCAAAGGTTTTAAAAAACCCTAAACAAATTCTAGAGAATCTATCTAAAGCCTCTTTTGATACAGCCCAAACCTTTGGCATGTTTTTTGCACGAAGTGGCTGCTCTCGAACTTGAACCGCTACTCATAGGCTGATTTGTTTGGTCTGGACGGTTGAATTACTGGCCCGTCACTCATAGGGAAATGTGGTTTTAATTGGTTTTTTATCAGTTCTTTTTAACCTGCAGTTGTATCAACTGGTCAGACCAGTCAACCCAACACAGGAGCAGAGATTTCAAGTCCATATAACCACTAAATTGCTTTCCTGTAAAAAAATTTCTTGACTCAAATAACAACCTAGTGACTACTGGTTGAGCCATTAAACCATTAGATATTAATTCTTTTTTATTGTATTCCATTACCATCGTTAATAAAAAATTCTTATTTATCACACTTATTTTTGGTTAACATGTTTTTTTGGGTTCTAGGTTAATATGATGAATGCATTATTTTATAGATGTCCCCAATTTTTTTTTTAATAAATTTCCTTTATGTTTTTGTAATTTTTTGTTTTTCTATCTACTTTTAAAATTTTATTATTTAATTATGACATCATAGGTTGAACCATTGACATGCTGCCTAGATGGAAAACTGGTTTTGTCTTATACCAATATGGGGAATAGAGTTAATTAGTGGAACTTAATGGTGAGAGAGAATAGGATGAACCAAAATGTAGTAGTTCAAATTATGTTTTCAGCCAAATTCAGAAATAGGGGTATTTCAATCAAGGAGAAGTCCATAAATATTCAAGGTTCATTCCTACTTTTTATGTAGCACAGATGAGTGGCTTTGGATAAATAAACTGATCAACAAAAATAGATCAAATTGTACCAGTTAAAGACCCTACAAATTGAAGGTCTGATATTAGTTGTAGAACATCTTTTTTAGATGAAGGAGAGAGATGGTATGTGTTAGGGGTATTTTTTTGTTAAACCAAAAAATAGATGAAATGAAAAGTGAATTTTAAATTTATTTTTATGATACTAAAGAAAGAATGGCATAAGGGAAGAATATGATTCATAGAAACTTCTGACAGGGGATTCCTTGGAGGTAAATCACAGGAAGTTGTAGTAGACATTGTCAATAAAATAATAAGAGGTTTTAGATAATTTCCCTAAATTTATTCTATTGAAGATTTTAAAACAAGAGCCTCTTGAAAAATTATAAAAGAAACAAGGTAATGACAAAAGAGAGAACACATTTTCAATTGAATTGACTTGAATTGCATGAATTTTATAAAATTAAAGTTTAGAAAATGAATTTTAAGATTTGAGTGGTAAACTAGATACATATAAGGATTCAGGCTAAGATTTGAACAAAATACCTTGAGGTTCAGAACTTGAATTGTAAATAGTATCATAAACTGTAAGATCTTAACAACTATGACTCCAACTGAAATCAATCCTGTTAGTGGAGTAGTCGGTCCACCTAGTGGATGACAAGCTTATTTTGTAACCTAGAAATTTCATATTGCCTAAAAAATAAAACAGAAGATACAAAATATAATTTACAGAACATGATTTTTACAAGCCCATTAACTTAATTGCTTAATCATCAAGTCAACTTGCTGAGTGATGGTTTGGAAAATTGTTCTAACTGGCATGCATCCCTTGGTTTGTATCAGATTGAAACTGGGGATTTTTTTGTCTGAGCTTTAAATCATTGGTGCTCAAAAGTCAAAAGTAAAGTGGTTTATTTGTACTTATTGTTATAACTGACATAAAAATAAAGAGAGTAAAAAAGGAAGAAAAATAAGGGAAAAAGGAGTGGAAAGATGTCTTGAACAGTAGAGAACAAGAAGAAAAGAAGATGCGAGAGAAAAAGGGTCTAAAGGAAGAAGATACAGACTGAACTCTTCTCCCTTGTTGACCTGAGCTGTTAACCGTTTCTTTTTTCATATGCAAAATTACAGAAATTCCCCTGTTAAGAGATTTTTAACAGGAAAATACAATGCCATACTCAAAGGACAAAAATGTCCCTTTTGATAGATAAAATATCATATTTCCATTATATCAAAGAGAGAGATTACATGAACAGTCCCTTGGGAAGGTGTGAGATGCCACCTCTCCAAACAGAATACACATAAGCTAAAGCAAAAAGTACATGAGTGCTAATACAAAAATGCAGTTGAGCCTAGAACAAAGTTTCCCTATTTATCCCTTGTTTTTCCAAGATATTAGCAAAGGCATTAGCTGAAATCCCCATCCACTGTATTGTAACAGACATATTCCTCATCAGCCATTTGGATTCTTTAGCTTATTCTTGTAACCCCATGTGACATCCTCCAGATTATTTAACCATTCTATCACTACCTTAGACTCCCCTTCAATAAGCAACTGCTCCATGCCCAATTCTTTTGCAGGAAGTACTCCTTGTATGACAGCTAGCAATTCTGCCCTAACAGAATTCCAAATGCCCAATGGGCCAAAGAGAAGAATAACCTCTCCAGCCTCATTTCTCAAAACACTCCCAACCTAGAGGGCCCTGGCTGCTCCCATCAAAATTCAGCTTCATTAAGCCTTGNGGGGGGCAGTTTGTAAAAATACTTACCTTTGAGGAGGAACAGCTTGCTACTGCTAACCAGTTCCATAGTCTTTAACCAGTGCATTGCCTTATACATAATGCAGTCCTTCAACGCCTGATAGCTTGGAAGATTCTAGCATTCCTTTCTTCCCAAACTGTCCAAATCAAAGATGCTCTTGCACACCTCCACATGCTTCTTCCACTTTTATGGGGCCAAGAGAAAGTAGACGGGTTAAACATCATGCTTACTTTTGCTGGCATATCCCACCTACAGCCAACCCAAACAAGGAGAAAAGCCAAGCCCAAATCTCTGCAGTGGCATTACAAGATAAAAATAAGTGGAAACAATCCTCACCATGAGATCTGCAAAGAGTACACTAGTTGGGTGAATACAAAGGAAGGCACTTCTGTTTTGTAGGTATCCATAGTGTTTACTTTCCCATGGCACTCTTCCCAATACAAAGCCATAACCTTGGGGGGAATTGGCCTACACTAGAATTCTTTGAAAGGGAAAACCTGTTGATAGGAAGTTTGGCAAAGGAAATTAAAAAGGAACCACGAGAAAAAATCCCTTTGGGATGAGGGGCCCGAATCCTCTTATGTAGCTTCAAGGGGTCCAACCAAACCTTATTAAGGAGGCAAAGCAAATTAGACAAACACTCAACTTCCTCATCCCTTAACCCTTTACAGAAACCAAAGTCCCAAGTCAAGGCCAACAGATTTAACAAAGAAGGAATTTTAAGATCACCTCTTTTTTATACAAAGAAACAAAGAACAAAGATGGAAAAAAGGTCTTTTAGAAGAAGATCTCCAACCCTAGTGTCCTCCCAAAATCGAATAGAATTACTGGAACAAACATCATACCTGACACAATTGAGAAATTGTGAGAGAAGTCTGTGAATTGCCTTCCATGGTGTTGCCAAGTTAGCCCTCCTTGATGCACCATCATCCCATCCATTCTCTGGGCATCCACGAGTACTCTTCACCACAACATGTTAAAGCCTCTCTCTCTCTCTCCAAAGGCCACCATCACAACCACTTCCATAGCAATGCCAAATTCTTTTTAACCACATTTCCTAAACCTAATCTCCCTCTTTGCTTCTACCACAACCTCCCATCTGATTAAATGATCTCTTTTACCCTCTTCTGGTTCCCAACGAAAGTCTCTCATAATTTTTTCTAACTTCTTTGCTTCCCTAGGCGGCATCCTAAAGATAGAGGGGTAGTAAGTAGGTAGATTTGTGAGGGTATCTCTTATCAAAGTGATCCTCCCACCCAAAGAGATATAATTCTTCTTCCACAAAGCTAACCTCTTCTCAAATTTCTCTATGATTGGAATCCAGAACCTACTCTCCCTAGGATTCACCCCTAACTGATGCCCTAAATAGGACATAGGCCAAGAGGATATAGAACACTCAAGACAAATTGCAACAGCCTCAATCTCCTCAATCTTCAAGTTGATTCTTGCTATGCAACTCTTTTCTAGATTGATTTTCAAATTGGAAAATTCTTCAAAGGCTTTAATCAACTCCTTCAAGTTTCTCACCTTCTCACTATAGCCTCCATCATAGAAAATCATCAAATCATCTGCAAACTGAAGATGGGTAGCTAGAACTCGGTTTATTCTCCATCCCCTTATAATATCTTCCCTATTATCCCTAGTGATAATTTGATTGAACACATCATCTACCAGAGTAAAAAGGAAAGGTGAAAGGGATCCCATTGTCTAATACCCCCTACAGGCTGGAAAAAATAATCCCTTACCACCCCATTTACTAGGAGGAGTAATAACAAGTACTAACATAACCAAAATTTGAAGTAATAAAATGATCATTCTAGGGTTGGCATGTCCTCCAGATGTGAGAGAACACTTGAGAAAGGGAAGGAAGATCATTACTTCCCCAAATTTGAGCTCTCGTCGGCTCAAACTCAGACTTCTATCTTGAAAGGAACCTGGCAACATCTAAGTGCTCCCTTTAAATCAGGAGAGAGTGGCTGGTAAACATTCAACTCATTTTGTAGATTTTTCAAGGTAGCATAATACTCTTATACACTCGTATCATACTGTTGAGGAGAGAAATAATCTTGATATAGTTGGTAGATCCTTGCCACATTGTCTTGCCCTGAATACAATTGTCAGGCATGTTCCCAAATTTCCTTAGCAGTGTCTAGAAACATGAGATTAACATTGATGCTGTTTCCCATACTGTTCCATAAGGAAGCCATAATCTTAGAATTTTCTTGCACCCATTCAACTTCCCTCGCAATTAAGGAGACTTCCACAAACTTAGCCCATGGTACATAATTGTTATCATTGAGCTTAACAGTAATTAACTAGGTGTTCTAAAGTAGTAAAGTCTGATTGCACAACTACAGTAGACTTGGAGCTACTACTGCAGGCAGCCACAGGTAGGAAAAGGCACCAAACAGTGAAGAAAAATAGCTACAAGCACCAACCACGAGATCAAACACTACAAAAATTTAAGCTCAAAAAGATTATTATAATCCATTGCTCAGTAGTTTGCAGCTCTCCCCCCCCCCAAAAAAAAAAAAAGATCACACAAGCACTTGTAGGGTACCAAAAATCCTCCACATACCAGATGAAGTAAATTCCCACACAAAAATACACCAAACTAAACACCATAAACTGCCAAAAACCAGTTGCACTCAGTACACATACATGTACTCACGTCTAGGGCTGCAGCAAGGTAGAGCTTAGTACACCATCAAAATTACTTCAAACCAACCAACTTATAGCATTAAAGCCTTTTTTTTTGTAAGGGACGACCAGTCCTTTTAAGTCACTTTAGCTGTTTGTTTTGAAAAGAAGGAATTCTCAACTCCTAGGGCACAAAAAAGGAGTGTGAACAGTGACAGTCGAGTTCATTGCCCTGACACCATATTATAACATAAAAATAAAGAGAGAAAAGGGGAGAAAAAGAAAGGAAAAAGGTGTGGAAATATGTCTTGAACAGTAGAGAACAAGAAGAAAAGAAGATGTGAGAGAAAAAAGGGTCTAAAGGAAGAAGAGACAAACTGAACTCTTCTCCCTTGTCGACCTGAACTGTTTACCTTTTCTTTTGAATATGCAAAATTATATAAGTGCCCCTATTAAGAGATTCTTACCAGGGGAAATACAATGCCATACTCAAAGAACAAAAATGCCCCTTATAGGCATACACTTCAACACTTATGAAATAACTGTTTGGGAAGGGCATCCTGAATGAGACCAACTTGTATTTGGAAAGGTCATCCTGAATGAGCAGAAATGGCATTAAGTAGAGAAATTTAACATAACATTGACCTTTTCAGTAGATGTATTGTAATGATGTTAAGGGTGTTCTGGTTCATTTTCATTCTGTTTCTATAACACACTGGAGTAATTGAAACAAATGCATTATGGCCCCCCTACAATATGGGCTTGAAATTTAAATAATGGACAATATTCAATCAAATAAACTTCTTACTTATGAGAATTATAAAGCTCCAAAACATGAAAAATACAAGCAACAGGAAACCAAATCAGATCCCACCAAAAAGGAATAAGAATTCTAGTATACAGTGAACTCTCCATAACTGCATAATGGCTTACCTCCAAATCCTTTACTGCTTGCTCCCTTGTGATTTCTTTTTGTTCCCGAGCACGTTTAAGAAAACCAATGCATAATATACCCTGAATTTGATATTCCAAACATGTACCAAGTATCAATACTTTTAAATACAGAAGCTCAATCTAACTAGTTGGTGCAGAGACACAGGTTGAAGTTGCCTTAGGAAGTATTGCATATGAAAACTAGCTTAAAATAAATGGTTACAAAAATAAAGAGAATTTCTACATGCTGCACAGATATACATAGATAATATATTTTAGAGCCCTGCCAGGCTTCAGAAAATTGTGGAAAACTTTTCGAAGTCATCAAAAGTTCAAGGGAAAAATAATTTTGAGCATGCAGCTTATTTGAATTTCGTTGACTCAATAGAGTCAACATGCTTGACACATATAATTTATAAACTCAATGGATTAAAAAGTTCTTACTGAGTCGATTAGATTTTCCATGCTCAATCAACCAGTTTCTTTTGTTTGGGATATTAATACAGTAAAAAGAAAAGGAACAAATATTGATAAAAAATACCATGATTTTGCATCTAGCATGATGTTTTTATGCTTGACACATATAGTTTATAAACTCAACGGATTAAAAACTTCTCACTGAGTCAACTAGACTTTCTATGCTCAATCAACCAGTTTCTTTGTTTGGGATATTAATACAGTTAAAAGAAAAAGAACAAATATTGATCAAAAATACCATAATGCTGCATCTAGCATGATCCTTTTTATTTTATAGCTTTTTGGTGAAAACATAATCATACCGAAATAACATAGACCAGGCCACAAGCAAGAAGCAGATAGCTAGCTATATTCTGAAGGAGCACAAGATCTTTCCTTTCTCCACTCTCATCAGGAAAAGCTCTTGTCATCACAGCAACACTGGAAAAGAAAACTCATCACTTACAACTTAAACAATAAAATATAATAAGATTTATTGGTTCTTAACATCTTAGGTGACGAAATATCCTTTTTAACAATGTAAGCAACTTTTAAAAATAAGAACAAAAAAAAAAAAATCTTTATGGTAACAGGAGACATACAAAATCTGCAGCATGCCCCTGCCAACCCAATACTCCAGTACCTGCAGCATGACAATTGACATTGATATTAGACAACACGACTATAAGAATGAAATGTAAAAAGAATAGATCTGTTTGAAGAATTAAAACCCTAAAATGTTAGATGCATTGTCAATCATAGATTACTACAATGAAAATACAAATAATAAATTAATAGGATGGATAATGGATCTACCTTGAATAAATTTTTTGTTTGTTTGTTTGTTTTTTTTGACAAAATTGGTAACAGCCCATAATTTGGCATGCAAACATAACAATGACAGCAACATATTAGAATTGGACTAGAAAATAGAAATACCATTGAACTGCTCAGCTGTCGCCTAGGCTTTGGATTGGAATGGGTTCAATTCCCTAATCAATGTTCTTTCGGTTGTCAGTTTCACAAAAAACTGTTAGCTTGGAGGGTTTAACCAAAATTCAACCAATGCTGTTTTATTGATTTACATGGGTCCTATTTATGCATTTAGTAATAGCAAGAAACAAAACCAAAAGTTATGCATGTGCAGTAACTTTTTGTTTTACTGAAACTTACCATTGGAAATCACAATAAAAGCATTAAACAAAAGACCTATCCCCCTCTATACCATCTTTTTGTAACTTTACATGTCTTGGAGGAGTTTGAAAAGTAGAAGGTCAGTGCATGGAACAAAAATAAATTTACATTATACAATTATTCATGCATATATACATGTGCAAAAAAAATATTTCTTTGCACAAATTTACTCAAATCAACAAAAAAGATGAAATCTCAAAAAAAATCTTATTTGTACATCTTGTGGCATTTTTTTTTTCGTGTGATACTTTTTCATTAATTGGAAATCCACATTGTTATTTTGTTGATCGGTAATTGTGTAATGTGTGACATTATTTTTTTTTTTGAAAAGTGATATTTCATTGATGATGGAAATATAAAATATAAAAGAATAAGGTCATTATGTAACATTATTACTTTCAATAAAAGAATATTATGTACAAGATGCCTTGCATCTTGTGTTATAGGCAGGAAACCCACCTAATCTTTTATATTTATATCACATTAGAGTCCAGAAAAGTTGTTCCCTATTGATTCCTAATTTGGCTAGCATATCAGCTACACCATTTGCCATTCTTTTCACCCACATAATGTTGTTTTGACCTCCCTTGCAAGACATCTGATTTCCTTTATAGTTTGTCACTTTGTCTATAGACACCAACGCCTTGACTGTTGCTATGGCAATGCACATTATTATCATAACATGATTCTTTTACATTTTTGTCTTATGCTTGACATAAGATTTATTAACTCATGCTAGTTTTTTAATATTCACTATTCTTTTGTATCCTTCACCTACCATTAATTATGAAAAGCTTGAGTACTTATTTATTTTGGCAAGTATGAGTTTAATACATTGCATGTGAACTGGTTTTTGATCTCTCTTCCATGATCCATTAAGTTTAATTTTTGGCATCCTTTTTCTTTTTCAAAAATTTTTACATTCTCTTTCTTGGATATCCTTCAAGTACTCCGAATTATGACAAACTGAGGAGGGCTCTGTGAACTATGAAGCAGGCATGCGGCATAAAACTTTTTCCATATCTTTTATCAAAAATTCTGATCCACATTTGTAAATCATGCTAGGGGTTTCTCCAAATATGACATGATAGCTCATTCTCATATGAAATATATCACCCTATATTGTGTAAAGTAGGAAAAAAAGCATCTGATTCCACACTAGGAGCATTGGGATGATTAAAATGAAAGCCAGACATAACATATAAAGATATACATCGCCCTAAGCTTCACAAGGAAGCAAGGAAGGTAATTTCCTAAAGGAAGCTTAGTTGTAAACTTGTAAGAACATTGAGACTGTATAAGCTAAATTGAGAAAGGGAGTTGATCTCTATGAATTTGAATTTTTCTGTGCTTAAAAACAATTTGTGCAGCCTGTTAAAGATTACTCCTACTCACTGTAATTGTCCATTACTTTCCTTTATACAACAGTCCTATCTCATTCCTAAGACACCAAACCAGTTAGTCTAACCATCTAACCATATATCCTGAAAGAGTTTGTCCAACCAACCAAAATCCTGAAAGTACAAGTCCTAGCTTTTCCTTGCTCAACTGTTATTTCTAATTGGTAAAACAATCAATTTGGATTATATTAGTTTTATACATACTAAGTAAAAATAACAAGAGAAGGAGAAGCAAGCCTCCTTGCTAACCTGGTATATCCCCAACAAAAGCTAATCTAGTAGTGGCGTAGTGCCAACAGCAACTCCTACAAGCCATTGGCCAAGCAATCCATAAATCTGGGCCTAAGACTCAGATATGCAGCAGAGTAGAAGGTGGTTTTCTCCTCAAACTACCTAAATATTCTTAATCACCAGTATATGGTTCATGCCACATGCTATGATAGGTTAATAACCTCAAGACAGGCCCCATATAAGAATTTTACATCCGTAGCAGAACGTCGAAAAGGAACGAAAAGTACGAGTAACATAATTGTACCAGGAAAAACTTCAAACACTTTAAATCGAAAATGCAAATAAGAGGCCGTCATAAGAAAACAAGCTAGAGAAATAACGAAATGAATAAAATCTCACTTTCCAGAATTTGAGAACAAATTCCCACTCTGTCTCTGCAATAACCACAAAAAAAGCGATGGCAACTGCGTAACACCGAAAGATCCCATCGAAAATCTGTTAATGGATGATGGTAATGTAAACATCTCATACATGCAGACAAAGGAGAGCTAATGCAGAAACGACACTGTTGCTTACGTCAGATTCATTCTTGAAAGACCTGACGGCGGAGAGAACATTGACGGAAATGCATAGAATTGCCGTTAAAGAAGTCAAGACGCTGAAGCATCTACAGGCCAGCAGGAAAGGATCCGCTCTTAACCTAAGCCTGGCCGACGGCATGGAAACTCTTTGCGAGCTCTCCTCGTCTCCGTTTGTCGACATTTTAAACAGAAATTGTTCATGTACGGATTTTCACTTCTAAAACCCTGAAAATGAAAACTTGACGTTCGATTCGAAGCTGAAACCCTAAAAATGAAAACCTTCGGACTTCGGTTCAATTCGAAATTGCTCCTTCTTTCTGATGGCAGCTTTTGCTTTCGTATTTTCGCGGGATGGATTCTCTCTTCACCGGCCATTCAAAGTTATAGTTGGCATATGACACGTGTCAGACAAATCGGACGGGAGCGTTAGGCCTTCTGGGGCTCTGTTTTGCCCTGCAAAATGAATCAGGTAATTGGCATAAATCACCCACCAAGGATTCCAATCCAACGGGTGATATAATTTGTTCTTACGTAAAATAGGAGCATTTGACAAGTGTCGTTTCCTCCTTTCTCGGAGCCAAGTATGGGGCTCAGTTTTGCCCTGCAAGATGAATTCGGTCACGTTGCTCACGTATTTGACGGATATCTAACGTTGACTAACAGTTATTTGAGCCTCCTTGACCACGTTGCTCTTACCGGTTACGATGACGAAGCTCGAGATTTATTTAAAATGATAAATAAATAAAATACTCATCGGACGGCTATATTCCCTCTGTTTAATTGGGTGGGAGTGGGACCCATTCTATTTATTGGTGCAAAACCAGTCATCAGAGGAGTGATCAGAGAGGATTCTCGACGGAGTCACTACGAACAGGTGTCTCATGGCGGAGATGAATCAGATCGCACGCTCTACAAAACGCAAACAAATAGATGAGACGAGTATTTGATGACTTGATGCCTTCTCTTATTGACCTCATCGTCGATGATTCTGCGTGTTATCCAGAAGCGAGGAGGACGTTTCGATTTGAACCTCTTATCTTCCAGGCAAAATTTCCCTCTGGTTTTCACCTTTTACTTGAAAATTTTGGTAAGATCCCTTGTTTGTATGTGTTATCGCGGCATCGCTATCAAATCCGCATGATTATAAATAGATAATTCCACTGATTTACTGTTGGATAGTAAGGAAGGAAATTGTTTCCGGTTTCTCGATCATCTGTTGCTGGCCTAAACTGTGGAAGAGTACTTGATCATCCAGTCGCTCTTCCGGAATCTGTTACTGCTCTTTCTTCTGAGTTCTGAACATGAATTTGGCTTGTAGATATCTCTTATTATTCAACTGAAGTGAATGCAGTAAGAGGGGGCCATTTTTGTCTGTCAAGTGATCGAAGGTAGAGAAGGATTCATTCGATTAGAGTGCCGGCCAAAGTTTGTGGTTTGGATTATTCCAGTGATGACCGTGCGCAATGGCACATCTGACGACAACTCCCTACAAGGTTTAGTCGAATTGAGGCTCGATGTCGGGTAGGATGAGCCGGTTTTAGCTCAACCCAGGCTCAATCTAATTATTGGGTCTAATGTCTGAACCCGATGTCAAATCCAAAATATCCAATTTGAGCTTATTTCGTTCGTATTAAAATTTCATGCATTCAGATTTTTGGATTGGTCAATTAATTCAAACTAAAAATTAGTATGTATGTGTATATGCATATATAATTTATTAAAAAAATTATGTATATATATATAAATATATAATATATACATATATATAATTGAGTGAGACTCAGGTAAGACAAGGATTAGGCCAGAGCTCAGCTCAAAAAATTAAAAGGCCCGAACTTCTGATTTCAGATTCAGCTTGAAGACCAAAAATCCAAATATTCTAAAATTGCAGGCTGGGTTGGTCCAGTTCATCTTACAAACATTAGATAAGATGAGGAGAAAAACAATAATCGAGGCTGGAGGATCCTGTTCAAATGATTTGCGTGAATATGTGATGGCTATAAAGAATTGCACCTTCCAAACCATGGAAATCTTGTACCCCTCATGGTGGTGACCATGGCTTGGATCTTGTGTAAGGTAGAAATTGAAAGTAATGGTGTTAAATTTCACGGGATCAGGCTACAACAATAATCATATTCATAAAATTAAAGTAGTTTGACAATCTAATGGCCCGTTTGGTTTGCAGGAATAGAGATATGGAATCGGAATCAGAATGGGCCATTATAATTCTTACTGTTTGGTTGGGTGGAAGTGGAATTTCATTTCTATTTCTGGTGGAATAGTATATGATGAAGGAGAATTTGGCCCGACTTCGTGACAGGGAGACACGTGGACATGACTCAACACGAGTGACAGCTTAGCATAAATCAGTTCGCTACAAAACGAGCTCGGGTAAGTTGGTACCCTGAACTAAAGTCACTTCGACCTAAGATCGTCTCGGTACTAGATCGCGACAAGCGAAACCAAGTTCGTTACAAATCGTGCCCGGACCGATGGATCACTTCGGTCCAAGGGCACTTCAGCATTCGTGTCAAGGCAGACCTAAGGAGCACAAGCTTGAGGAGCTCGCTACCAGCCAGCTCGCCATCGAACAACTCGATATCCTACAGGCAACTCGCCTATCGTTCAGACCTCCGAATGGCAACCTCGAGGAGCACACTACAGTACTATGTATCCTACAAGGCTGTACCTCACGGTCACATTAGTTCACCAACTCCCCAGTTCTGACGGGAAGGGACAATATTACTGTTTGACGGCGTATGACAGTATTACCGTTGACGACATGTGACAGTATTACCGTTTGACGGCGTTTCGCCCACCTAACACGCAGCTAGGATCCGGTAACTATTCCACCAACCCGCATGGACCCCATTATATAAAGACTCTGCCCCCCCTGGGGCGAGGTACGTTCTATTCTTATTGTTGTGTGTGTAATCTCTAGCTCTCTAGCTCTCTCACTGTTATCATCATCAAGCTCTCTCCACTACTACTGTGCTCTAACTTAGCCATTGGAGTATCATCGCCGGGTGAGCCACCCCGGGATCTCTGACTCGTCTCTTTTAGGAACCCAGTTTTCATTGTTGCTGGCAGCCAGATCACATCCAGCAGGGAGCAGCCGGATTACGCCACATCAGTATCCATTCCCTCTCTCTTTCTTGGGAATGAAACCCCATTCCAGATGATTTCAATTCCTATATGAACCAAACATACTATGGAAATATACCATTCCAATTCCATTTTCAAGGGATTTTGATTCCGACTATAAACCAAATGGACCTTAAGAGTCACATAGATAAAGGGGGTGATTATTTCTAGCCTAGGCTGGTCCACATATTTCTATTCTTGGGCCTAGATTATGTTGAGGCTTGGCCTGTGTGCAGCCCAGGCCTAGGTAGTATGCCCTTCTTCTTCTTCTTCGACCATGCTTGGGAGTATTTAAAAATAAGTGCTTATTTGGGCCATTAAGCACTTATTAGTATTTGGGAAATAAGCCTGAAATAGGTGCTTATTTTAAAAATAAGGGCTTATTTTTTTTAAGCCCAAATTTGCAGCTTTTTTTAAGTGCTTATACAATAAGCACTTATTCAATTTTTTTTCTTCCAAAATTATCTCTAGTTGAACTTTAGTATTATCCTTAGTTGAATTTTATAAAAGCACTTTTACAAAAGCAGTACTTTTATGAAAGCACTTTTAGAAAGTACTTTTATAAAAGCACTTTTAGAAAGTACTTTTACAAAAGCACTTTTGAAATCACTTTTACAAAAGTACTTTCTTAAAAGTGTTTTCAAAAAAGTGATTTTGTAAAAGTACTTTCACAAAAGTGCTTTTATACAATTAGAGAAAAAGTGAAAGCACTCTTATTTAAGTGCTTATTAGAGAAAAAGACTACCAAACGCCTAATTTAAAAAAGTTGGATGCCAAATGCAAATAAGTACTTATTCGAATAAACACTTATTTTAACTTAAGAACTCCCAAACATGACCTTCTACTTCTTCTTCTTCTTCTTTATTTATTTAATTTTTATTTATTTATTGGGGGGGGGGACATAGAATGGGGAGAGTGGATATGCTTAAATGATAACATACAATTGATGTAAGGTTGCAACTTGCAAGTGCTGCAAGGTTGCTATTGGGGCGGGGGGTTGAATATGACTGAATCTTTGCATAGACCAGTTTGTAGCATGACCGATTTTAATTAGGATCAATTCTTGCTTCAACTGGTTTGGGGGTAGAGGGGGATATATTCTATCCTCGGTTTTGTAGCCCCATGATGCCAAACAAAAAGCGGTAAATCCTAGGAGTGATGTAAAACACTTTTAATTTACAACACTACAATAAAAGTTCAAACCCTATGGTAAATTCTAGGAGTGAGCATGGGTCAATTCGGTTTGATTTCAAAGTAGAACTTAGAACTTATTCTATAGGAGTCAGTTCCAGGGTCAACAAACATGTTCTTTCTTTACCTCCAGTAAAAATGAAACATATATTTTAAAAATTTGATTTTTAATAATAATAATAATAATAATAATAATAACTTATCATTATAATTTAAATTTTATAAATATTATCTTTTACATCACTTATTATACACATTTAAATATTAAAATGAAAAAAATGATCAAATCACTTACATGACTTGATGGTTGATGGTGCGCAATCTGATCACTCTTATCTGACACTTGCGTGACTCCTGAAAGGTACCTGAGATGGAGAAGATGAAGAATCCCTGGGGGCTTACCCGACGGGAACGCTTCGACGCTTAAGTTAGAGTTCTGTGAAAGATGCAAAGAGAGGAAGAAAGCTAAGAGTGCAGATAGCGCGAGTATCAGGAAGTTACCTTTGTCCTTTGGGATTGGGCTACTTATAACAGAACTCTGTCGAATCAGGCCCACCTACCTCTGATAGGGCAGGTATAACCGCCACTGTCGTCCTGCCGCAGCCGTTACAATCAGGGCTGAGGTGGCACGTGCGGGGCTGTCCTTGCAGGGTACATACCTGTCAGGTGTAAGACACCTTCTAAAAGTGGCGGGCATGACACTGTCTAACGAGAGGCGTGGGTGCAGTCTCCAGGTTTGTCGGGTACGGTGGTTGGGTAGGAGGCTTTCCTGTGATGTGCCGAACTGCTCTTCTGCGAGCTACCCTATACCGAGCTACCCTGCAAGTGGCGAGCTGCCTGTGGAAAACTACATCGAGCTGTCTGGCCCGAGGTGTCTCTACCTCGGGGGTATCTAGAGGCGGATCGTGGTGTCCTATTTGGGAGTAACCTAAAATCCACTAGGAGGAGCTCAGGCATTAAAAAAGGTCAAGGGGCCCCAAGCTCGGAGGTGGTTTGGAGTGCCTCGGCCTTGGGAAGGAGGTGCAAGCTAGGCGGCTCTCGGCGAGTAGCCTAACCCGCCGAGTTGCTAGACTCAGCTCGGTGAGCCCT